TCTTTACAGATGGTTGTGAGCCACCATGTGGTTGCCGGGAATTGAACTCGGGACCTTTGGAAGAGCAGGCAATGCTCTTAACCACTGAGCCATCTCTCCAGCCCTCTCTGTCATTTCTTGCACCTTTTAAAAGTTGCTTGATTGCACTTGCTGTTTACTCAAGTTGAAAGACTTTGGGGCACCTTAACATTACTGCACCCCCCTTCCTGGGAACCAGGACCCTGGTAACCAACCACGCGTGCACTGGAGTTTTGAGTACTTTCCATCCCCTTTGTAGTCTTTCTTCAATAGACCCGGACCCTGGAACTGGGGTGAGACGACCTGCAGGTTGTCCTCCTTGTAATCGCCATAACACTGACCAAGTAGAGTTAGTTGACCATTGTATGAACTAGTTAAAATAGTTGACAAATGATTTCTGGACTTCCCCTTTGATTCTGTACTACCCCCCTTGATTCTGTGGTTTTTTCCTTTAAAAGAGCCTACAATAGACAAAGTAAGGGGTCCTTCTCCTCTCGAGGCTGAGGGACCTCTGCCACGGCAGCAAAATAAAAGTTCCTCTTGGCCGCCCACCTCACTCCCTTGTGTCCCGGCAGAGGCCCGAGCGGCCAGCACGAGCACCGGCGACCATGTTCCGACGCAAGCTCATGGCCCTGGACTACCACAACCCTGCAGGCTTCAACTGCAAAGATGAAACAGAATTTAGAAACTTCATTGTTTAGCTTGAAGACCAGAAAATTAGACACTACAAGATTGAAGACAGAGGTAACCTGAGAAATATCCACAGCAGTGACTGGCCCAAGTTCTTCGAAAAGTATCTCAGAGATGTTAACTGTCCTTTCAAGATTCAGGAGTGACAGGAAACAATTGACTGGCTTCTTGGTTTAGCTGTTAGACTTGAATATGGAGATAATGCTGAAAAATACAAGGACTTAGTACCCGATAACAGGAAAAATACTGACGACACAGCTAAAAATGCAGAGCCATTGATCAACCTGGACGTAAATAATCCTGATTTTAAGGCTGGTGTCATGGCTCTGGCTAACCTTCAGATTCAACGTCATGATGATTACTTGGTAATGCTTAAGGCAATTCGCATTTTGGTTCAGGAGCGTCTAACACAGGATGCAGTTGCTAAAGCAAATCAAACGAAAGAGGGCTTACCTGTTGCTTTAGACAAACATATTCTTGGCTTTGACACAGGAGATGC